GTGGAGCTCCCTATGGGGCCACGAAACGTGTGAGGGGTGTGCCAGAATGGGGGGTGGAACCGCATGCGGGCGCAGCCACTGGGGCCTTCTATGGGGCCACGAAACGTGTGAGGGGTGTGCCAGAATGGGTGTGGGAGGGGGAGGAGGGGGGAGGAAGGGGAGGAGGAGGAAGGAGGAGGAGGAAGGAACGCGGGGCGACGTCTCTTCAAAACCATTTCCCAACACCACAGGATGGTTGGGAAAAACACCGTCCAAACCCAGGCGCGAGAGAACCCACGATAAAAGGAGCGGGCGGTCCACAGGTGGGAGTCACGCCGCTGCGACGTCACGCCTCCGTCGAACACCTCGCTCCTATTCTCCCGTGAAGCCCCCTTTGAGAGGCAACACACGTCTTGCGTACGTGCACCTTGGCATTCTTGCAGCTGCGTCCACTCGCACTGGTAGTCACAGTTGTCGTCGTTGGCGTCGTCGTCGCCGTCGTGGCTGAAGTCGTCGGTGTCAGGTTCTTGGGGGTCTCCCCCCTCAGCCCTTATGATGCAAGCTGCGGAGGGTGCGAGGCCTCATGGCGGTCCTCACTGATAAGACATTCAATGCGAATGCCTGTGATGCTACTTCTTCCCGAACCGAGGCTTTTTCTGGTGGCCTCGTATTGGGTGCGAGGTGCTTATGATGGCCCCAGCGGGTGCCTATGATGGCGGCAGTTGTCGACCGGCAGGGGACTGAGTCCCGTTCGTTCGTTGTCCATGAGGGGAGAGCACGCTACGCATGGAATGAAGTCAATGATGAGGTGAACGATGAGGCTGTGGTGCCTATTTTGATCTTGAGCTGGCTATGATGCCCGCTCGCACCCACCCCTTCCTGTCTTCAGGGACTTCGCATCCCCCTGTGATGGTAGGATGGGAAGACGGGCCGCCACCCCCCTGCACTGCACGTGCGGTGCCAGGTTCGTGGGGATTTGCCCCCGCGGCCCCCCCCCCAATGGAAGGAGCGGAGGGTGTGAGGCCTCGTGGCGGTCCTCACTGGTAAGGCCTATCATGGTTCTTACCGGTGGGGGGGAGAAACATACCTGAGAAGGGCAGTGAGAGACACTAACATCACCGTCGGAGCCCAATCATGAGCGAACTCACTATCAGAAGGAGGGGGCGGTCCACAGGCTGGGAATCACTCTGCACCCGCGGCCACCTGGCGGCGTCACGCCCCCGTCGAACACCTCGCTCCTATACCCCCGGGGATACCCTTTAGCAGAGGCTACACAAGTCCCACGTACGTGCACCCCCGCACTCATGCAGCTTCGTCGCCGAAGTCGTCGTCCTCGACGTCGGTCGTCGGTGCTAGGAACGTTGGAATTCTTCACGCTTCGCGTATCCCCACCAGCCCATCTCAAAACAGCAACTCTTGCGAAGCATGCCGACAGTCGTGTTTTTCAGGCGTGTTTCCGCCTGCCCCCGCATATCTCCCCTGTTCCTCCTTCCTCCCGCCTCCTTGTACATCCTCCTTGTGGTGGGAGCGGGAGAAGGACGAGGCGGAGGAGGAGGGAGAGAAAGCGCTCCTCGTGGTTTGAGTCGTTGGGTTTCTCGTCCTGGTGTGAGTCGTTCGGGCCCTTCTTCCTGGTGTGAGTCGTTCGGGCTCTTCGTGGTGTGAGTCGTTCGGGCTCTTCGTTCGGGCTGGTGTGAGTCGTTCGGGCTCGTCCTGGTGTGAGTCGTTCGGGCTCCTCGTGGAGTCGTTCGGGCCCTCGTGGTGTGAGTCGTTCTTGGGGCGTCTTGGGGGCCTCTTGGCGGCCCCAGGGGCTTCTAGGAGCGTCTTGGGTGCCTTGGGGGAGCCTCTTCGGGCCTCTTGGGAGCCTCTTGGAGGCCGTTTGGGGCGTCTTGGGGGCCTCTCGGCGGCCCCAGGGGCTTCCAGGAGCGTCTTGGGTGCCTCGGGGGAGCCTCTTGGGGCCTCTTGGGAGCCTCTTGGGGGCCTCTTGGGGGCCTCTTGGAGGCCTCTTGGGGCCTCTTGGGGCTCTTTGGGAGGAGTCTGGGAGGTATCTTGGGGCCTACTTTCGGGCGATCGATCAAAGATGGGGGGGGGGGGTTCTGCCCCCCCCCGTCGGGGCCAGAATCCTCGTGAGGGGTGTCGTTTTTTAGCCCTCCCAGGAGTCGAAAAAGACCCCTCCAACGACCCGCGAAAGGACCTCTCCAGGCCCAGGGGAAGGGGGTAGGGGGAGGGGTAAACCCCTCCCCGAAGGGGAAGAAGGGGGGTTGAGAACAGAGATAGCTCTCTAAACCACTCACGCCCAAAGGGCTGGTGGGATTTGCCCCCGCAGACCCTATGGTGGAAGCTGCGGGGGGTGTGGGGATAGGTCTCGGCTGTCTCGGTCGTGGCAGGATAGGCTTGCCGCAGTGTTGCAGCCTGGGGTCTGTGTGCCGTCGCCAATGCGCGGAGCCTTCTATGATACGATGCCACCGCGAAAGTTCGCTTGTGCATCGCGGCGGGGCCACTCCCGCGCCTCCAGCCTCGTGTCGCCTCGAACCTCCCGAGCCTCTTCGCCAGCGCGAGGCGCTGCCCGAGGACGGCCCCGTCGCCAGCCCGCGCAGGCAGTCCTCGCATGCCCGAGCCCGCCGCCGTGGACGAGCGGCCCCTCCCTCGCCGCAGAGATATGGAACCACGAGATATTGCACTTCTTTTGAATGCTGGATATGATGTAGATGGGGCAAATTGGCTTCACGTTGCTACACACCACAAGTGGTGGAGAGACATGGAAAAGGATTTTTGCTGCCATCGGCAAGTTTCCTGCAAGCGCTCCAACTTCTGAGGGCTGCGGCCCATCTCCGCCCATCCCCCGTGGGACGCGCTCCGGCGCGATGGTGGCGGTTCGTTCGTTCGTTCGTTCGCTCCCTCGCCGCCGGGGCGGAGCCGTTCGTTCGTTCGTTCGTTCGCTCGCTCGTTCGCTCCCGGGGAGAGCGCGCTCGTTCGTCCGTTCGCCCGTTCGTTCGTTCGTTCGTTCGCTCGTTCGCTCCCTCGCGCGCCGCGCCCGCCCGCGCCGGGGAGAGCGCGCACGCCGCGCGGCCGGGCCAGCAGCGCGCGGGCCAGCAGCGTGCGGCCGCGGGAGCCGGCGGCTCGGCAGGGCCGCGCGCGCCGCGGGGGCCCCGAGGAGCCTCGGCCCTCGAGCCCGGGGCCTCGGGCGCCTCGAGGGTCGAGGCTCGAGGAGCCTCGAGGATCGAGGATCAAGGAGCCTCGAGGATCGAGGAGCCTGGAGCCTGGAGCCTGTGGAGCCTGGAGCCTCGGCCCTCGAACCTCGGCCCTCGAGCCTCGAGCCTCGAGCCTGTGGATCCTGGGGCCTCGAGCCTCGAGCCTCGAGCCTCGAGCCTCGAGCCTCGAGCCTGGAGCCTCGAGCCTGGAGCCTGGAGCCTGGAGCGGGTCGAGGGGTAGGTTGCCCGGGGCCCGCCCCTCGCCGCCCCTCGCGAGCCCCCCCCCCCCCCCTGGGCGTCTCGGGGGGCGGGGAGAGGGCCGCGCCCCCTCCGCGCACAGTGCGCTCTTGGTGCGCGAACGACAAAGGGTGGCGAGAATGAGGATGAGGAGGGTGGGGTGGGGGGGGGGCGAGAATGAGGATGAGGCAGACAGGGGATGGCAAGTTAGGTGCGTTCGCGTCAGATCTGACGTGCCACGAGGGGGATGAGGAGGAAGACGAGGAGGAGAAGGACGAGGAGGAGGTGGACGATGAGGAGGAGGACGAGGAGGAGGAGGGGCAGGAGGTGGAGGGGGAGGAGGAGGGGAAGTCTGTTTTTTTTTTTTTTCTTCTTGTCTATGTGTGTGTGTTTTTTGCAGTCCGAACGGGGCGTGTTCTTTGGGACGTCTTGGAGGCCTCTTGGGCCGTCTTGACGCCGTGTTGGGCGTCTTGGGCCGATCGTTCGGTGATTCGGAGCCCTCTTGGACCGTCTTGGGGGCCTCTTTTGGCCCTCTTGGCGCGCTCCCGGGGACGTGGAAGGGCGCACCCAGGAGGGAAAACATCTCTGAGTAATAGTTCCTGGGCTTCGGTCGGGGTGCTTTTCGCCGGGGGACCCCCAGGGGCCGCCCCGCGCGCGCGAACTAGAATTATTGTTAACCAGTTACCGGAGATCTTAGCACGCCTCTGGCCCTTTGGGCCGGCGAATTTCTTGTCGATGTATGTGTTTTTTACAGTCCGAACATTGTCGGTCCTTCCAGCATGGTATTCCCGTTGCTGCACTGGCTCCGTTTCCGCGAACGGTGCTCCCGCTGCAGCGTTCGGCTCCTTTTCCGCGTTTCCGGTTCGTCTCCGTGGTGCTCCCGCTGTAGCGTTGGCATGATTCTGCGCTTTGGGTCATGAAGCGTCGTATTCCCGCTGCGGCGCTGGCCTCCTTTCAGCGTTTTTGTCTTTCTCAGAGGAGCTCCCACTAGATCGCTGGCTTTCTGTCCGCTGAATTGCTGGCTTTATGCCCGCTATGCGATGCCACTATGCGATGCCCAGCCTTGCTCTGCAATGCTGTGGTATGCAATCCTTGGCTACGTAATGCCATGCCATGCTATAGTGTGCATCGCCATGACACCGCATGCAACGTAGTGCTATGTTATGCACCTTTGAGAGATATGCCATGTCTTGCTATGCAATGCTATAATCTGCAATGCTTGGCTACGCAATTCCACGCCATGCTATGCCACGCTGCGCTCTGCCGTGCTCTCCTGCGCCATGCTATGCTGCGCAGCGTCTACCCTTTCGGGATCATTGTTTTCTTCGACACCCGACTAAGCGTATAGAGAGGGGCTCTACGCAATGGTAAGGGATGAGAGGGAGGGGTAGGACGTCAGATATGACGCAAGCGCACCTAGCTTGTCTTCTCCCCTCTCCTCTCCCCCTCTCCTCCCACCAGCTCGCCCTTCGCTCCTCCCCGTTCCGCGCCGCTCGCCCTTCGACCCCCCCCCCCCAGTCTGTTTTGCGCCCCTCCTCGCTCCGCTGGGCGGGTGCGGAGATCGCACGGAGGGGGAGCGTGCTCCGCGTGCCCCAGGCGCGGGTGCTGGCCAGGTCCCTGAGGGACCGGGGCGTGGGGCTGGACAGCTTCGACAAGTTTGACGTGGAGCAGACGAAGGACCGCCGCTTCGAAAAAGGTGACATGCACCGACCCAGCCCTCAGGTGCAACAGTGCGGTGGGGGGGGGCTCTGGCGCGCCACAGCTAGCCCAGAACAGGAGGAGGAGGAGGCGGAGGAGAAGGAGGAGGGAGGGGAGTTGGAGGAGGAGGAGGAGGCGGAGGAGGAGGAGGAGGAGGAGGAGGAAGGAGGAGGAGGAGGAGGAGGAGGAGGAGGAGGCAGGAGGAGGAGGAGGCAGGAGGAGGAGGAGGAGGAGGCAGGAGGAGGGGGTGGGGTGGGGGGGCAGTCTCAGGGGCGGGTGCATCGATCCCCACTCGCCCACTGATGGCCGGCATGGGGCCCCGGGAGCCCATCCCGCCGCGGGGACCGTGCGGATTGCCTCCAGGAGGCCTACTCGCCGATCTGTCGGCGAGGCATCGCCGACTCTAAAACGACGCGAAGATCGGGACAAAATCGGATCGGGATAACTCGAAATCTCTGAGAATCGGCGTGCTTGGAGGATGTACTGGGCGCCGCGGCCGCTCCAGAGCGTTCCGGAACGCTCTGAGAGCGCTCCAGAACGCTCTGGAGCGATTTATCCCGATCCTAGCCCTGTTTTACACTCCCCCGCCCTCGAGCTCCCCGCGGCGCGCGCCGACGACTTTCGGAGCCAGGTGCCGCCCCCCCTGGCGGCACGGGGCGGGATCCGACCACCGTGCCCGTCCCCGAAGTGCACGGGGTCGTTGGCCGAGTTTCTCCGGGGCTGCCTCTGGCCGCTGCGGCTTCGGCAGAGGTCCCACAGCAGCAGTGCCTCCGATTTCTGCTCGGCGCCCGCGCATCCCCACCGTCGGCGCTGATAGAACCGTGCTTCAGCACAATCCTGCATAAACCCGCCGAATCCGGCTCAATCCTGGGTTCAACCCCGTTCAATCTGGCTTGACGGCCCCTCACTCGGGCGGCTTCGTCGCCCTCTGTCGTTCTTACGGAGACCTCTGAGAAGTTGCCTCCTGACCCACCCTCCATCATCGCCGCTCTCGCCTCTCTCTCCCGAGGCGGCCTCCCCCCTCGCAGAAGTCCTGGAGCCTGTTTTTTAGACTCTGGCAAGTTTACTTGCATGGACGGGGAGGGGGGTGGGCTGAGCCTGAAGCAAGCCCGGGGGGGGGGGCGCGGAAATCACGCAAGTCGAAAGGCACTTGCACGCTAGTATTCGCTTGAAGAGGGGCGAGGGGGGGGGGGGGGGGCGAACGCCATGCAAGTAAACTTGCCTGAATCCAAAAAAAAACAGGCTCCTGCCTCCCTCTGCTGGCGGCGCTCCCGCTGGGGAGCTCTCCCGCCGTGCTCGTGCTCGCCGTGGGGGGAAGGAGCAGCGACACCAACACCACCAGGGAGCAGCCTCCAGCGAAGAGGTCCACGATCAGGAGGGAAAGGAACACACAGACACAATTAATCGTCGATTTCACAGACAATATGGGAAAATATGGGAAGTGGGTGGGAAGACAAAAACCCAGACAATATGGGAAAATATGGGGAATCTTTTTATTTGTGTGTGTGTTTCCCGGCGGAGCCGGGTGAAATTCCGTGCCCGCCGGCTGATTGATGACTGACTGAACGTCAGGGGACAGCTCGGGAGACACATTTCAAACCGCCCGCGGGAGCGCAACCCGGCGGCGCAACCGCAACCGCGACCGGGCGACACATTTCAAAGCGCCCGCGGGAGCGCGCAACCGCAACCGCATCCGCAAACCGGCGACACATTTCAAGCCGCCCGCGGGAGCGCGCAACGCAACCCAACAACCGCAACCGGGCGACGCATTTCAAAGCGCCCGCGGGAGCGCGCAATTGCAACCGCAACCGCAACCGGGCGACACATTTCAAAGCGCCCGCGGGCGCGCAACCGCAACCGCAACCGGGCGACACATTTCAAAGCGCCCGCGGGAGCGCGCAACCGCAACCGCAACCGGGCGACACATTCCAAAGCGCCCGCGGGAGCGCGCAACCGCAACCGCAACCGCAACCGGGCGACACATTTCAAAGCGCCCGCAGGCGCGCAACCGCAACCGCAACCGGGCGACACATTTCAAAGCGCCCGCGGGAGCGCGCAACCGCAACCGCAACCGCAACCGGGCGACACATTTCAAAGCGCCCGCGGGCGCGCAACCGCAACAGCAACCGGGCGACACATTTCAAAGCGCCGCGGGAGCGCGCAACCGCAACCGCAACCGCAACCGGGCGACACATTTCAAAGCGCCCGCGGGAGCGCGCAACCGCAACCGCCAACCGCAACCGGGCGAACATTTCAAATGCCGCCGCAGGGCGCGCCACGCGAACCCAACCGGGCGACACATTCAACATTTCAAAGCGCGCGGGAGCGCGCCAATCGCAACAACAAATCAACCGGGCGACAAATTTCAAGCGCCAGCCAGACGTCGGTCGCGCAAACCGCAACCGCAAACCGCAAGCAACCGCAACGGGCGACACATTTCAAAGCGCCGCGGGCGCGCAACGCAACCCACCGGGCGACCACATTTTCAAAGCGCACCGCCAGGGAGCGCGCAACGCAAACCGCAACCGCAACGGGGCGACACAATTCAAAGCGCCTCGGGGTCGCTCAACCAGCACCCGGCAACGGGCGACGGAGGAGGGGGACGGACGACGACGACCGCGACGACGACGACGACGACGACGACGACGACGACCGGACGGTCGACGACGTAGAGGGCGAGGAGGAAGACTGAGCAACAGCAGGGGGATGGGCTGGGGGGGGGCAGGGGGCGGGGGACGACAAGGAGAATAAGGAGGAGCCACTGGCGGAGGGCCCGACGACGAGCCCCCGCGTGGCCCGCGGTTCTCCGCCGGGACATTGCAGCGGGGAATCCCTATTCCACGCTGCTGCTTTTGATTATTTGTGTGTCCCCGGGCCCCTTCACACGATGCCTCCTCCGAGCCAGGGATAGGGGACGCCCCGAGCGAGAGGGGGGACCACACCACCCGGGGGGCCCCGCCCTGGCTCCGCCCGCTGGTGGTCCCTGGTGGTGTTGGGTGTCGGTATTCCGTGCTCCCGCTCTCCGCAGCGCCAGCTCCCCACGCGATCCGCCGCTCCTCTGTGCACTGGCCCGAGCAGGACGAGCGGGAGCTGGAGGAGTACAAGGCCTTGGCCATGCTTGAGCTGGACGTGTTCAGGATCGCGGGGTGTGCGTGCAGGGGAGTGCGCGAGGCTGCCGGCTGGGAGCAGGACGAGGAGGAGGGGGAGGAGCAGGAGGAGGAGGGGGAGGAGCAGGAGGAGGAGGAGGTGGAGGAGGGGGAGGAGCAGGAGGAGGAGGTGGAGGAGGAGGAGGAGAAGGAGGAGGAGGAGGAGGAGGAGGAGGAGGTGGAGTTGGATGAGGAGCAGACGATTGACCGTTGAATGCACACTGGCGCGAGGCTCCGGAGACTGCACCGTTAATCAGCCCCGCTCCGAAGGTGGGCGCCGCCCCCCCCCGTGCCTGCCGGCAGCCGCTCGGGGACACATGGGCAGCACCCCCTCGCTCCAGTTCGGGGAACACTGAGCGAGTCTCGGCGCGGCTGCGCGGTCGCACGCCCCCCAAGTCGAACGGGTTGGAGGACATGTGCAGCCTCGAGCCGTGCGACTTGCGCGAGTCCCCTGACTGCTCCCCCCGGGCGTGGCAGCCTTGAGCCCGCGGACCAGCAGCCGAGGGATGGGGTTGAGGAGGGGGAGGACGAGGCGACGGAGCACGAAGACAAGGACGACGAGATGAGTGTTGAGGAGGGATGGTGATGAAGAGGGAGTGGGAGGGGTGAGGAAGGATGGCATGAGGAGGACGAGGAGATGGGGAGGGATGAGGAGGGATGGGACAAGGAGGGATGAGGAGAGAAGGAGGCGGTGGGGATGAGGAGACAAGGAGGGATGGGGATGATAATGTCGCCCGTTGCGCTCGGACAGCTCCAGACAGCGTTGCCCTGGCTCGCGCGCAGCTTCTAGGCAGCTCCCAAGCGCGCTTTCTGGGCTCGTACGTGACCAATGCAGCTTCGAGAAAGCCTTTCGTGAGGCTGCGTGGGCCCTGGAAGCAGGACGAGGAGGAGGAGGTCGAGGAGGCGGGTGGCAACTCCCATCTGCTCGCCCTCTGCTCCCCCTCTTCTTGCTGTGCACAGCCATGCTGACAATTAAGTCGTAGTGCCCGCTCGTGCAGCGAATGCACGCACGCAGCTGATGATGATGATGATGCTGCTGATGATGATGATGCTGATGCTGATGATGATGCTGATGATGATGATGCTGATGCTGATGACGATGACGATGACTATGACGATGACGATGATGATGATGCTGATGCTGATGCTGATGATGCTGATGATGATGATGATGATACTGATGATGATGATGATGATGATGATGATGATGATGATGATGATGATGATGATGATGATACTGATGATGATGATGATGATGATGCTGATGATGATGATGATGATGATGATGATGATGATGATGATGATGATGATGATGATTCCAAGAGGAGGAGGAAGAGGAGGAGTAGAAGGAGGTGAAGGAGGCGGAGGAGAACGAGGAGGACAAGGATGAGAGGGACAAGGCGGAGGAGGAGGACAAGGAGGCGGAGGACGAGGATGATGAGGAGGGAGGAGGAGGATGAGGAGGTCCACGAGGACGTTCCACCTCGACTGAGCCTGTGAACGCAACGCTTCCTTCCTAACAACCGGAGAACGAGGAAGGGAGGCGAGTAGAAGTGGCGCTTGGCGCCGACATGGTCACCTTGAGACGTGTATTCACACAGCGCCCATGCAGCTCCGAAGAACTTTCGCTATGTTGCCTTGAGGTCCTTGCAGACCTGGGCTGATCATGCGAACGCGTTGTTTGGCCGCTCAATCTGGGCTCATACCGATCGTCGCTGAGTTCTGCTGCATCCGCAGCGGGCTCATCCTCCTGGCTCCGCCCAGGCGTGGCAGGGCAAGCGGCCGTGGGGATCCGGCAGCTGGGAAGGACCCCGCCGAGGCGGGGCCCACGGCTCGTGCCTTCGCGGCCTGGCGGCCTGCAGGAAGCTCGCAGCGCGGTCGGCCGTGAGCAGACCCCACAGCATGCCCCGTGAGATAGGAGGAGGAGGAGGAGGAGGAGGAGGAGGAGGAGGAGGAGGAGGAGGAGGAGGAGGAGGGGAGGTGGACCGAGGATCGAGGCTTTTGGGCGTTTTTGGCACTCTCCCAGCCCTTTCCCGTGGTCGCCGGTGAGCAGACCCCAGTGGCCGCTTGAGCTGTCCGAGCAGGCGAGAAGACAGTGAAGGTCCGAGCGAGCGTAGCTGGGCCCAGATGCTGTTCTGTCTACCTAGGCGTGGGCTCCCCCTCCGGTGACCCACATGGCGGATGGGGCGATCCTCCCTGCGCGTCGTATGCGCACCTGAGCCCTCCCCCAGAATGAGGTATAGGTAGGAGGAGGCCTACCTCTGGGCACTACAGGCGTCGCCTTCAGTCGGGAAGGATCAGGGAGACCTACCCTTCCGCATGCCCTCGGCTTCAAGCTCCACAGGACAGGGGCAGGATAAAGAGGAGGAGGAGGAGGAGGGGGAGGAGGAGGGGGATGAGGAGGAGGAGGAGGAGGAGCAGGTGGAGGTGGATTAGGAGGAGGAGGAGGAGAAGGAGGAGGAGGAGCAGGAGGAGGAGGAGGAGGAGCAGGAGGAGCAGGAGGAGGAGGAGGAGGAGGAGGAGGAGCAGGAGGAGCAGGAGGAGGAGGACAAGGACAAGGAGGAGGAGGAGATGGAGGATTTTCTGTACCTCAGTCTTGTTTCTCTGTGCTCGCAGCAGCCTGACCGAAGAATTTGAAGGGATGCCAGGAGCCTGCCCTCGTACCGCCCGGGCATCGAGCGCCTGACCTTCCCTGACCTCCACGCCGCAG